AGTCTCACTTGACCTGCTGGCCACGCTTCCTTTGATGCAGTCCAGGACACAGTTGGCCACCTGGGCTGCAAGAGGACATTGCTGGCTCATGTTGAGCTTGGAGGAGAGAGATGATGCAACCAAGTAACTTCAAGTTAACCCAAGAGTATCAGTACATAAATTAAGACCAGGCAGATGCTGAAGCCCTTCGTAAAAGGCTTGGACACAGTTTTCATTGGATTGCTGCTGACTGGTTTAGATACTCTACCACCCATGGATGATTTCCTGAGAAGCCTCCAATATGATCCTGCTTCACATGGACTTTATGACTGTAAGTTCAAATGTTAAAAAACCCAATAACAAATCTTTACAAAGTGTGTTCAGATCTCCAAGAGCTTGGAAAAGGAAGTGATTTACAAGTAAGAATTTATTTTGGCAATATGCTAACCACCTTTGAAAGCAAAGACTAGAGGCATTAGGCTGCCATATTCCAGGTAGCTTCCAGGGAGTTGCCCACATCAAGTAACCACTTTGAAAATTGTCAAAACATATAGACATGGCACTTCAGGATATAATCTAGTGGGCATGGTGGGGTTTTTGTGTTGGTGGGTTGCCACAGTCTAGGAGGTTCCTCCAATGCATTGATCCCCTCCTGGGTGGACAGTTGGACTCTAAGAAGTCTTCTCCCATCATGACAGTTCTGTGAACTCTTCAGGTACAAAGGTAGACTGATACTAGCATCTACTCTTGAATTATGACTGCTCTAGGACTACAAGAACATTAGGAGATTTCCTCAAATAAACTTAGCACAATTAAATGCAAAGGTATTAAGAAGCTGAAGAATCAGGTGAGCATTCATTTTGCACAAAGGAAAGATGATGAGGCTAAAAATAAGCAAACTACCAAAAACCTGACAAGAACGTTACTCCCTACATATATATATTTAATTAATAGAAACTAAACTACTAATTTGGAAGTATAAATTGGATCTAACTGTTTTTACTATAAGATAGTGGAAAATACATGGATAACAAAATAGTTAGTTCATGATTCAGGACTGTTTCTGAAGGACAAAGTGGTCAAAAGAAGGGAGGAAAAGCCTCCCAGTAATCTATAAAACAAAGTTAGAAAGCGCTATGAATGCACATGGAACGATATTCTGCATGATAAATCATGAAATCAGGTATTAAACTGTTTCTGCTACAGACTACTAAGTCATGTTAAAAGCATGTCTTGCATCTTAATCATTTATCTTCTTCATTACGTGACCTGAGGAAAACACTCCTGGAAGCTTTGTCTAAAAAGCAAATGCCAACAGCGTTTGTGAGTCCAAATTCTCAATTAATAATTAAATATAGCATTAGCTGGGAAAAAAAACAACAAACAGAACCCAATATGAAACCAAAGGAAAAACAGACATGATACAAAATATTGATTAGAAGCGAAGAATAGTCAGGTGGGGAAAAAGTGGTATTTCTAATGGATTTTTACACACCTGAATAACACAAGAGAGTATTTTCATAGTGTATCTCAGAGAAAGCAGAAAGTTTAGATACATTGCTGCTCCATACTTGTGGAGATAGAAAAAATTCTAACAGTAGCTAAGGAAAGCCTTAAACATAGGAACAGAAGTAAAGCGTTTTTTACATCAGCAGCTCCAGATAGCTTGCATCCAAGAATTTTAAGAGCTGGCAAAGGAGACTTGTGTGCTGTTAATGTGGATTTTCCATAAGCTTTGAGAAATCTGGGGAAGCTCAATAAAAAAAAATCTCAAAGAGAGCTGAGGTGGTGCCAATAGTAGGAAAAAAAAAGTAAGAAAGGAACAAATTCAGGAACTTACTGTCAACGTTGCATTAATCCCAGAGAAAAAAAGCCAACCCACAAACCTGACTTCTTGATAGAAGAACCAGAAATAAATGAGAAAATTCTACTTAAATTACACGACTTGAATGTACGGAAAAACTATCTTTTCAGATTGTCTTTTTTTCCTCATGCATTTATAGCACACATTTGGTAGGCAATAGGAACAATGTGGATACAACACATTTGTGCATTGACTTATTCAATTCAGGACACAGAGAAACCACCATAGTTATGCACATACAGTTCACAGTAAGCAAAAACTAGGGTTACAGATCTGTGTCATCCATGAGGAATCAGACACATTTCTAATTGAATCCCACAGGAATTGGGTCTTGGCAGCAAGCTACTCAATATTTTATCTGCAGATAAAGGTTTTTAAGTAAATAACGTAGCAAGATTGCTGATTTTGAACCATCTGGATTACTGGAAAATTTAATGCTTCAGCATGATTAGTGTGAGATCATGTATTTAAGACTGATGAATATGAAACGCTTGTAGATGGAAAACTTCCTCAGGAAGTAGTTGAAATAGCTGATAACAAAGTAAACAAGGGTTCCTTATGCATAATTAAGTTCAAAATTGGTAATGTAATTATTAAATGGCTCAAAAAACAAACCAGAACCAAATGCTGCTTTCCTTGCAGGGAGGAAGTGGCCAGAGAAACTGAGACTGTCAGGAAAACAGATTTTTCAAGTGCTCATCTCCATTGGCAAAAGGCCTTGAGGCATTTCAGGAAGCAGCAACAGAATGACAATTCTGTGTCCACGTTTATTGGAACAGCTTTATCAGAATCATGCATCTAGTCCAAGAAGTTATTAGTAAACCAGAGATTTCAAAGAGCAACTACAAATGATACAAGAACAAAACAAGTCTAAGACTGAACAATACCATGGAGTAACTGGCATACAAGTTAACCCAACCACATGAGGTTTAAGGACCACAAGAAAACCCATCAAACATTTGGTAGAGGAAAAAAGTTACATTAAGTGCAGTGTGATGATCAAAAGTAAGTTCATATTAGAATACCAAACAGGCTTTTTTGAATAACTGTATTAACTACTAAGTTTCCAAAGGTGGCAGGAGTTTTGCTAACGTTATACACAGGTATGACCCCAGCACAGAACAGGATAAATATAATGAAAACATTATTTTTAAAAGATAATGACAGTAACTTTACTATGCCTTCATTCCACACCAGGTAACACCCGTTTCTGCAGTTCAATACATCTGCCCAGCAGTGATGCAAGCAGGAGCAGGCAGACTCCCAGCAAAACACTTGTTTTGGGGCAGACAGCTGCCAGTGCCCGGGCCAAATCTGCGGCTCCTCTCATTAAAAAATCATCCCTCCAATGCCTGGCCTGAATGAATAAAGTTACTCCAATTAATAAAATATATTCAAGTTCTCAAATTTAAGAATGAGCCACACCAACATTTTTACTTAACGCTTCTTCTGTTCTCGCGGCCCTACTTTTAGCAACGCCTAAAAAGGAAAAAAACCAGAACAAAACAAGCGAAGAAGAAAGGTGCAGAAGGGCACCCGGGAGAGCCAATGCCTGGCCTGAATGAATAAAGTTACTCCAATTAATAAAATATATTCAAGTTCTCAAATTTAAGAATGAGCCACACCAACATTTTTACTTAACGCTTCTTCTGTTCTCGCGGCCCTACTTTTAGCAACGCCTAAAAAGGAAAAAAACCAGAACAAAACAAGCGAAGAAGAAAGGTGCAGAAGGGCACCCGGGAGAGCCAAGGAGCCCTGCCCGCTCACCGACCCCCGCTCCCCCCCAGCAGA